TGCGGTAGGCGCCCCTGCGGAGCGGGTCTCCGAGGCCTGCCAGTCCCTTGGGCGGGAGCGAGGGGAGACGTGGCGCAAGGGCGGGAGAGGGACCCTGGGGCCGAGGCCTCTGCCGCTCCGCTCCGGAGGGCCGGGACTTGAGTAACGCCGGTCCAGTCTCCAGATGGGGGAACTGAGTCCTGGAGGAGGCGAGGACTCCCCCTCCGTCCGTCACCGCCCCCCCCCCCCGCCCCAAACCCCACAGCGAACGAAATGGAAGTGGCTGGGATCTGGAACTGGAATTCGGGTCTCTGGCAACTCACCCCCACACCTGGCGATGCTTGGCCTCTCCCACCGCCAGCCTGCGACGGTGGGGTTCTGTAAAGTCGCCGGGGAAAGGCGAGGGCTCAATGCCGTCCACGAAAGGGCTGGTGAGGTCGGAACAGAGCACTGTGCCAGCACTACGCAGGGCGACGGAATCGTGTGGAAGCCTCACACCATTTCTCCCCCTGTGACATTAATAGTCTTAAAAACAGAGCCACCATATATCCAGTTTACTGTTCCTGTGCTAAGAGCTTCATTTATACTATTTCCCCTCGTCTGAAGTCAGCCCTCCGGACGGGTATTATCCTCCCATTCCCAACTGAGGGAGGAGAAAACTGAGGATCGGAAAGTTCCCACGAGAGGAATGCCAGTCCTTTCAGGGTTTCAACCCAGGTTAGCCTAAGTCCACCGCTGGGCTTTCTTAAGCACTCCTTTAATACAACTTTCCACCTCTATGTGCTTAAGCTCGCGAACATGTCAAATGGGTGAGAGTTCTCACCCAACCTCACCAGCACAACTGGAGGAGGAACCGTGCATTTGAAAATGCTCTGAGCTCCAGACCTTCTAAAGGTGCTACGTGGGTGAACACCAAGGCGTTCCCCAGGAGAGGCAGGGCGGGGGGGGTATGAGACTGGTGGGTCGGACCCGGGGGTTCCTCCTCCTCAGTCTGTAAACCTGGGCCAGGGGAGACTGGAGTCCTTCCCTGAGCCAAGAACTAAATCTGCGTGTGGTGAGCAGGAAACCAAGGCAGGGAATTACAGAGCTCCAGACTATTGATCCTCTCTTCTGAAAATGGAGAGGCTGAGCCCTGAGAGGAAGGGAACACAGCAAAGTGCTAGGCAGAGCCGGAACTCTTGCTCTCAGCCTAAAGCAATTCCTGCCAAACTCCTGGATCACAGTTCCCGTCCCCCCCCCCCCCCCCAAACACACCAAGTAACCTGGGGCAGAGAGAACACCCTCACAGGTCAAAATGCACCTGAGCCCAGCTAGAGTTAAAAGTGCCTTGGGTATACCTGCAGAATTAAGTTATTGCTGTTAAAACCTGGCCTTTTCATTTCACTAGTCTTTGAAGAGTCCAGATGCTTGGTAGATGTTCAATAAATTATTTTAAAATTGAATTTGTTCTTTTAACATTGTCATTAAATTTCTAGAAAGACCTCTTTCAGTAAATAATGGGATCTTAAAAAGGTTTTGTTGTTTTTTTTTTAAGTTAGGGAACCCCACTGAAAATAATTTTAAACTTTAATTTACTGAATTTGCAATCATGAGAAATGGCAGCAAAGTAAAATGTATACACATTTATAGTCACTGGTCCATTTTAGGAGACTGGTGGTATCTGACAAAGAAATTAGAGTAGTGAGGTTGGGGAAGGAAATTGTGGGGATTTCTAACACATATTCTCTTTATTCTGTCTCTTTCTGGGTCATGGTAAAACAATAAACTATCATCTCTAGGTGGGAAAAAAAGTGCCTTGGGGGTCTCCCAGAAGGCTGGGTCTGGAGCCTCGGCGCCCTGGGGTCTACACAGGCACCTGAGATCTCCCAGGCGTCGGTCCTGCAGGAACCCACCCAGCCTGGAGTCCCAGCGAGTCCCCTAGGGCCTCACTTTCAGAGCAGGCGCCACTCATCTGAAGACTTAGAATCCTTCACAATCTTTGTGGGAAGTGGGAGGGGAGCACCCTGCTCTTTAACCACCCATGGATGTGGGGGGGGGGTGTGAGGAAGCAGGGCAGTCTCAGGGCCCTCAAGGGGTCTGATGGAACTGGGACTCATCAGCCAAGTACTGATAATATATTCCCCACCACAACTAAGCAGGCTGGATATTGGGGGGAGGGGTGATGTGTAAACACAGAAAAAGATAGGGACATGTGGGTGGGGGCTGGAGCATGAATTTGAGAGTATGTGGATAATTGTGTGTACCTATGTGAGTGTTCCTCATTCATGTGGGTGCTGTGATAATGTGCATACTATTGTTCATCTTCGTATCATCGACGTGTGAATGTGACTATATAGGTAAGACAGAATATGTCATAATGTCTGAGAGTTTGCGTGCCAGTGTGTCATGTGCAAACATGTGAAAACATCTATTTCTGAGCATCTGTGCATATATAGTAGTGATCATGGCTATGTACTTCTGTGTGTTTGTGGGACTGGAGGCTTAGTTGTGACACTGAGAATACACAAAATGTATGATGTGGTTTTCGAATGTTTGTGCTGTGAATACAATTGTGGAGCATTGTAAGAACATATAAACTGGTTGTACCCGTGCACAACTGTGGCATAAGGTGATGTGTAGAACTCTACAGTGGTGTGATATTTATGTAGAATGTGTGTGCCTCTGCTGGAAGATGGTACCTTACGCATGCCCATGTGGACACTTTGGAGTGGCTTAGCTGTAACACATCTGTGTCAGAATGTCTGCCCTGTGGACAGCAGAGATAATGCATAAAATCCTAGGAATGCATGAACATTGAAATGATGCCTTGTGTGGTTGTACATGTGTTATCCTGAGAATACACATACTTTTAGGTGCACAAATATATGGACTTTTGTGTATGTGGCGAGTCTGAGAGCGCCGCTGTGCATGTGCAACCTTGGGCCGAGTGTGCCACTCTGAGAGCCTGCGGGTGGAGATTGCGCCTGGATTACGGCAAAGGCTGAGTGTGTGTTGAGGACTGAGGTCCTTCTCCACAGAGCAATCACTTTCCCCATCCAAGAGTCACTCCGGAGAGCCTCCGGGCCGGGAGGTGCGGGACCCTGCAGCGCCACGGGTAACTGGGCGCCAGGCGCTCCCTCCCCTTGAACCTCCGGCTCTGGTGGGCCCAACCCCAGCGCTGCTGGCGCCAGGCGCCCGGAGAGCGGCGGGTTTCCAGCTTGCCTCAGGCAGGAAACCGGGACCTCCCTCCCCCCACGCACCTCTAGGGCCCACAGCCCAGCCCAACTCCCCTCTGGGGAACTGGCCAGCCCAGGACTGGGCATTTGTCTTCTTCTCTCCTGCGGTGTCACCCCACCCTTTCCATTCACTCCCTTGTTCGGGAGAGAAAATGATACAGTATCCATTGGCTAGGGGACCCAAGGACAATCATTCATCTTCTCTGGACCCCTTCTCTGGGTCTGTACAAGGAAAGAGTTGGCCTTTCTCCCTCTGCCTTTGGACTACGTGTGCTAGGCACACAGTGGCGTCAATAAATCATTCAACAAATGGATAAAGGAATGAATTTGCCCTCTCAAAAGAGCAGCCATATATTGCTCTTCCCCTCCCTCTCCTCCACACTGCTTCTGGAGCAGGGCACACTCCGTCTACCGCACCCAGGGAAGGGGCGCTGGGAAAGGTTGGTGCCATGGAGGGACCAGGTATGAGGGCGTCCAGCTCGGGAGCTACTGCAACAGGAGGTAGGACAGAGAATCCCGCCAGGAGGGCAGTCATCCTGGGAATTTCAGGCCCCGAGAGAAGCCCCGGGAAAGGCCCCTGTGGAAGATTCCGAAGAGCAGGGAAGGGCCCCGGCGGCGAGCGGAACAGGCGGAGGTCCGGGAAGCCAGGGCAAGGTCTCTGCTTAGTCTCTGCGCTGGTGCGAGTGATATGCCCCTTGGTGCGTTTCACCCCGCAGTTCCTTCCTCCCGCTACGCGACCCTGGCGGCCAGTGTGGAGGTTGTGGTATACCCTCTATATGTGTTTACCACCAACCGCTGATTTCTCGCTTTGGCACTAGCGTGTGTTACAGAGCCGAACATTCTCAAACGGCAGTGACTAGGTGGAGCGGTCCACGTGAGCCGCGTCGCCCGCGGGCCCATTGTCCGAGTCCCACGGAGCGGAGGCGGCCTCCGTGGCAGCCAGCCGGGCAGCACACACGACTCGGTCGGAGGTGCACTGTCTGCTCCCGGTCCTGCGGGATGGGACCGGTGGACCAGGGGCTCAGGAGCTCGGGGAAGAACGTCAGGGGGTGATCCCGCCGCCAGAAGCGCCCTCTCATCTCCTGCCTCGGACACCGAGTCCGCGGAGTTCGGCACTGGGGACTGCAGCAATCCCTATTTTAAATTCTAGAGGGTCTAGAACAAGAACCTTTCTTTCTCGGTTTCCCTGTAGGTGCAATTAAATGACTCTGGATTTCTTTCCTTGGGCCTGGGGGGAGGAGGTGGCCACCACCTTCCAGGGCGTTGACAGGCCTGCGCCTCAAGTACAGCCCCCGCCTGCCCCTCCCGAGCCGGGAACTGGGTGGGGGGAGGGTGGAGGCGGGGCGCCTCCCTGTCCCTGCAGGCTGCCTGGAGGCGAGTGGCGCAAGCTGAGTTTAAAAACTGGGACGGCCACCCCCTCCCTCCTCCCCACCCCCCTGCCATTGGCTCCAGGGAGAAGTTGACATCAAAGCCGTGGCCTTATATAAGCCAGACCCCGAAGGGGAGGCCGCAGAAGGGTTAAAACAGGTCTCCCTACGTCGGCTGTAATCGTCCTCTTCCTCCGCATCTCGAAATCTTCGCCGTGGCATCGCTGCATCTCGCCGCTTCTCGATATCCTCACCGGCCACACAGCCCGCTACAGCGCGACAGGAAGTGGCAGGCTGCGCATCTCTTCTTTAGTCTTGCCCCGGACTCTCCCAGAGCCTGCGCCCATCGGAGCGCTACCCACCGGTGGCCCGGGTCGTCTCTGGGGTGCATGGGGCGGCACTAACTGGGCTGGCGGTGCAAGCCAGGTGCCGCTCCAACATGAACATCGTGGGCAGCTACGCGCACCATCACCACCACCACCACACGCATCCCGCGCACCCCGTGCTCCACGAGCCCTTCCTCTTCGGTCCGGCCTCGCGCTGTCACCAGGAGCGGCCGTATTTCCAGAGCTGGCTGCTGAGTCCCCCTGACGCCGCTCCGGACTTCCCAGTCGCTGGGCCACCGCCCACAGCCGCAGCGGCCTCGACCTCTGCCGCTTACAGTCAAGACTCCAGTTCCGGCCAGAGCCCCGGGCACCTGGAGGCCCTCAGCGGCCGCCTGGGCCGGCGGAAAGGCTCGGGACCCAAGAAGGAGCGGAAGCGCACCGAGAGTATTAACAGCGCGTTTGCGGAGCTGCGCGAGTGCATCCCCAACGTGCCGGCCGACACCAAGCTCTCCAAGATCAAGACTCTGCGCCTGGCCACCAGCTACATCGCCTACCTGATGGACGTGCTGGCCAAGGACGCACAGGCCGGCGACCCCGAGGCGTTCAAGGCCGAAATCAAGAAGGTGGATGGCGGTCGCGAGAGCAAGCGGAAAAGGGAGCTGGTAAGTTCGGGGGCCTCTTTGCTCCAGCCAAGGGCGCGAGCGGCGAGCACCCGCAGGCGAGCGCACAATGGAGGGAGTCTGCGTTGCCGTGCGCGAGACTTTGAGAGGCTGCGGAGAGTTCTGAGATGGTCAAAATGTGGGATTGTGTGCGTGAGGGAGATTCATATTTGAACTTAATTCGTAATGTGAAATAGTGTTTGTAAGGCTGTGAATAGAGACAGAATCTAAACCTTTTCGGAAGGGGGTGGTCATAGAGTCCCTTTTAAGAATCCATTGGGAGCTTGAGACCCTAGGAAATGCACACATCCTATGTTTTGCTTCCAATTTCAAGGGGTCCTCCGCCATGCCTGGGCTCCTCTGGAATCCAGCTTACGGATGCTGTAGGAACTCCGCTTTAAACGTGCCTGAGTGTGAATTTATGCATACGGGGTTTAGTTAGGGTTTTCAAAGGACCTTTGCCGGAGGGGCTCGCCTACTTCTCTCGTCCTACCGATAGGAAAACTGAGGCCCAGAGTGGGACAGGACGTGAAGTCCACCTACCCGAGGAGTCGGAGGTGCAGCTCGGGTAAAATAAGTCAGGTCTTCTACTCCTAGTCCAGAGCGCGTTCCACCGAGCACCAGTTCCTACGGTCTAGTTCCAAGGGCGACCTTGATGGTTTGGTGTCAGCACCAATGGGGGAGAGCCTCAGCCTCGCCCGCTTCTTTTGGCTTCTTCAGTCTCTACTCGTCCTTTCTCGATCCTCTCCAGTGAAGGCAACGCTTCCGAAGCCCGGTTCTGCTGGCCCAGGGCTGTGGGACCTCCGAGGGCGGAGATTTCCAGGCTGGAGAGAACTAGTTTCTCTAGGCTGGCCCGCTGAGCCGCGCGCGCTGCCGGTGGAAGATAAGTAGTGAGCCCCTCCGGGTTTGATCTGACGGGCAGGGGCTTTTGTCAACTGGGAGACTGGGGAAGGCAGCGAGGCATGGAGTCTCTACACCACCGCTCTGGGCTAGAGGAGCTGCAGGCCTGGGGTGACGCCTGGGTGAGAGTTGTCATCGGGGTGTTCCCAGCTTCTACACGTCTCAGCCTCCTTCCAGTAGCACCGCTTGGTTTCTCTCAAGAGCCGGGGAGGGGGATGCTAGGCCAGGCCGCCTGCCCTTCGCCTCGCCCTGTGAAGTGTCCCAGTGCAGGCTGGAGGGGACCCAACCCAATATCCAAGCCCGGGCACTAAACCAGGTTGGAAAACCTGTGCGATGTGGGGGTAAGGGGGTCCGCGGCAGCGGGGAAAACTGTTGATTTCCTTCTCCTTCCATTCCCACCCCTGCGTTCTCTCTTGGGCGCCGTCATGCCAAACCTAGGTGCATCAGTTTCACTAGATGTAAAAAATTCTCATTACCGAAACACTAGCCGCTGCCCAGCCCACCCTGCCCCTAGGAACTCGGCGCACAAGGGCAAGTTTTATGAGCTTGTTTGCCTATTTTGCAAACAGAAATCTGTCACTTATTTAAAGGTTCCCAGTCGCTGCTCCTGACACCTTTCCCCCCACCCCACTCTACGCCCGGTGCCTGTAGCAGAAAAATTTAAACCTGTCTCTCTCGCCTCTTTTCTTGTGTGTGTCCTCTGGCAGCAGCAGCATGAAGGCTTTCCTCCTGCCCTGGGCCCAGGTGAGAAGAGGATTAAAGGGCGCACAGGCTGGCCACAGCAAGTCTGGGCGCTGGAGTTAAACCAGTGAGCTGAGGCCCACGCCGAGGACCCCGCCACCGCGGCCGGCCGACCCGGAGGCCCGGGAGGAGAGGAAGGTGGTGGCAAGTGCCAGGCCCTGGGTGCCAGGGGCAGATGGGGCGCCTCCAGCCGAGCCTCTGCTCCAAGCTGGCAGGTCGCTGGCCGCAACGACACACTTGGATCGCACGTGCAATGTCATTTGAAATTGTTTTTAATACGTTAAGAGAAAGAGAAATATATATATATCCACCCCCCCAGAACGGAGAGGGCAGCTCTTGGCAGCACGATGCGGGAGGGAGGGACTGCAGGACCTGAATGGGCTGAGACGCACCCTTGCAACCCTTCTGGGGCGAATTCGGAAGCCCCAGCGCCTTCCCCGCTGTGCTATCTGGTTCTCTTTCTCATCCCTTCTCTGCTTCCAGCCCAAACCCTCCAGCAGTCAATCCCGAATTACAATGCAATAAGAGGAATCAATAGGTTACTGCCAAGGACAGAGAACCGGATCAGGAACACGGAGGGCTGCCTTTTGTTGTTGAACTCCCTCGAACAGTGGTGTTTTTACTTTTTGTCGCTGCACTTCCTACTTAGTTCCAAGGGAAACACTTTTTTCTCCTTCGTTCTTTTCTTCCTTCCTTTCCAAATAAAAGCTTTTCCCTATGTTGAAAAGTTTTTATGTATTTAAACTACCTACAGTGCCTGCTGCGCTCAGGTGTTTGATGTTTGTTTATTCTCCCATCCCCACCCTTTTTCTACCTCAAATCTGTATGACCACTCACCACCCCTCCCTTTGCCAAAGCAGTATCTATGCTCTTGACTAATAAAAATGTTTTCTGAAATTGGAGGAAAGCCTGCGTGATGTCTTGATGGGTATCAGTCCCTGGCTTCATTGTTTCTGCTAGGTGGAGAGCCTCTTGTTCCTGCTTTCTTTCCATAAATTCCAAACCAAATTGCAAATCAAGTCAAGGGGAGGGGACAGATAAAGGGTTTATTCCTGGAGTGAAGAACAAAGTCCTCCTTGGACTGTAACTGTGGGGCAGGGTAGCTTCAGTGAACCCACGGGAAGGAAAACTGGAGAGAGTTAGTCCCAGGTTGTTGTGCTAGAATTTTGGGGGGTCAACACTTGGGCTGGTCTATCACTGGGCTGTACACACCGGCGTCTGCAGGCAGTGGCCTGGGGTTTTCAGGAAAGAGTATCATCCCAACAGCAGAGCAGCTGGGAAGAGAGGGATGTGCTCAAGAATACTATGTTCAGGCGTATGAAATGATGCACATATAGCTGTGGTGTGATGGTGCAGGATCTCTAATGGAGTCCCTTGCCTGTGCCGGGGCCAACTAGGGTCTGCTTAGCATGGCTCTCAGCACGCAGGAAGGATGCAAACAGTCGCGAATGCTTATGGTGAAGTTGAGGCATTTAGGTTTCTCTCTAGCAACAACACACTCAACCATTAATTGTGAGAGCATGTGGACTTGTGCAGAGGGGCGGGGGTATGTGCATGCTAATTTGGTCACTTGTGCAGGGGAGCGGGCTTTGCGCTCCCACAGGCGCACCCGTGGCTGGGCGTTGGGGTGAATTAAAGCGGGTGCATTAGCTAAGTAGTGGCGCGTGCTGGACTAAACTGGAGCGGGCAAATGAAGGCGTTTATGTGTCCCTGAATAATAGACTACAGACAACTAGTTTTGCTTGCACGCAACTGTGTGCTAGGCACTAGGCTCTGTGCTTTTATGCCTCTGAACCGCTCCCACGATTGCCTGAGGGTCGCGCGGTCTGCGGCGCCTGTACAGGTCCCCGGAGCTCCCTTCAAGGGAAGCGCAAGGACAGGCGCCCCGCCAGTTTCTTGCCTCTTTCGAGCTCCATACTGGGCACTGGCGACCCTCGGCTTGGAACCGAGAAAGGAGACCCCTGGTAGCTCGGGGGCCAGGCGTGTCCAGGTGCCCCGTCCTGGCACCAGGGTGAATATGGGGCCCCATTAGTCTTGGCTGTAAACACCGTGGCAGGGGCTGAGCGGCCACTCCGGCCTTTCCAGACACGAAGGAGTTAATAAAAGGTGTTTTATGGACGTGAGGAAACGGTGGGGGAGGTGTGAGCTTCTCTCCACTCTTACCCCCCTACTTTTTTCTTTTTTCCCTCTCGCCACCCGCCTCCAGATCAAACAGGCCGGTGATTTAACTAGGGCAACACCTCGCGGTAATGAGCCGTCCTGGCCCACCCCTCCCCCGGCCTCAGTTCCCAGCCCCAGGCCCCAAGGCCCCTCGGGCAGGAGCAGAAAAGGAAAATCGAGGTGTTTTTTTCCCCCTCTTTCTTTCCAAGAGCTGGGAAGCCCCTTAGGAATCCGAGTACAAACGGGGGCACTGAGACTCAGGGACCAAGTCGCCTGATCGAGGGACCCCAGCACAGAGGGGCCCTTACTGGGATTCGAACCCAGGACTCCAGTGGGGTTTGCAGACCATCCTCAGCCTAAACGCAGAGCGTGGGGACTATTTTTAGCACCCAAGTATCCTAGGCACGGGAAGAATGCGCGCCAGGTTCGCTTTCCTGTATCCGCGGCCAGTGAAGGAGACAGGGCACTGCGGGGGACCGCGGGGACCCGCCTGCGCAGCAGAGCCCCTTGGCCGGGCCAGGCCTGCTCAGAAACGCCCTCGGGCAGGGATCAAACGCCCCACTGAGCGGGCGGAGGCTCGAATTCAACCGCAGCCGGTCCGTCCCAATCTCAGACCTGTGACCTGGCAGCTACGGCGGGGCTGTACCCATGGAGGGGTCGCCGACCGGGATGTCCTCCCGCTTTCCCCAAGCGTTTGGCGGGGGAGCGCTTAGCATGCCAGGGCCACGTTCCCAGCCCCTACTTCCCGGCTGGAAAAGCTGAACCCCCGGCGAGGAACAGAGGTGCCCCAGGATTCACACCCCCGGCCGGCGGGGTCTCCTGGCTCTCGCCCGTCCGTGGTCCTCCCCGGTTGGGAAACGGCGCTGGAGCCTGCCGTTTACTCTCTTACTCTCTCCCGGGGTTCAGCGCGGTTTGTCAGAAGCCCACCTCAACCCAGCGGTGGCAGAAGCGGTGCTGTTACTGTTATTTTTAAAAGCATTACCTTTTCTTTTAATTAAAAAGAAAAGAAAAGAAAAGAAAATCTAGGGGGTAAAAATGGAATGGTCACGAACTTAAAAGTAAATTCCAGGAATTTCTCGTAAGGAACTACTCATTGGTGTTACAAACCTTTAACTATGAGACTAGTCTACAAAAGAGTGAAAAATAGGAAAGGACCCAGATGTGCTATAATTACAGAATTATAACTGGTTAGAGAAATTCATCAGTACACTACTCAGCCACTAGAAAAAAATGTGAGAGTTGACACGGAGATTGTTCATGATATATTAAGTGGGGGGACCCCACCCCCAGGTTACTACTGAAGGCTGTCCATCCTGACCTACCTGCTTTATGAAAAATAAGTGAATGAATGAAAATAAGTATATATCATTCATGGAAGAAAAGTAGAAGAATATACACCAAGACATTTATACCTCTACCTCTGAGTTGTAGTAATAAGGAAAGTTTTGACTTTTCCTCCTGCTTAGCTATTTTTCTACATTTTTAAACAATGAATAAATATTACTTTTACAATAAAAAACTAAGCTGCCGTTTCCTTCTAATTTCTCCCATAGCCAGTGTATCCTCAGTACACTGTTTAGTTAATCTACATTGAGTGCCCATTTTGTGCCCACAGTGCCTAGCTGTGGGCATAAATGTAATGAGCAAGAAAGAATCCATATAATCACCACCAATTAACATACAACAGTAAATGTGTCTCAAAGAGTTATTTGTTCTACACAGTAAATACAGCCTTTTTCTCACATTGAAAACCTATTAAGGCATGAAATAATAGCAGCTAAAATTTGTTAAGGAAATTATGCAAGTCCTTGGCATGCATTATTTCATTTAAGCCTAACGAGGATTACTTCTTTGAAACCTCACGAGGGCAGAATGAGGTTACTACTGAGGCAGCTGAGGCTTGAGGAGGTGGACTGTTCAAGGTCACATAGACAGTAAAGGCTGGTAGAACTTGGACTAAAGGGTGGGTCAGGCTGTCTCCAGGGACCTGGCTTTTCCCCACATTTCAGAGCACATCCAGTAGAGGCAGAGAGTGTGTGTGTGTGTGTGTGTGTGTGTGTACAAATACGGCCTCTTAGTCTGATCCTCCTTGGAAAAGAAAGGTAGAGAAAGGAACAAGGAGGGTTGTGAAGGGACCTGGGACTCTAGCCTGGAACACACTTCCTCTGTCCCCACGCAGAGTGGATCCCATCTGCACAGCAAGGAAGGGGTGGGCTCCTTGACCTCTAGGTTCTTTCTTGGCTGTAACACTGACTCTGGGGAATCAACTTTCTGCTAGTGGAAAACTCAGCGTGTTCCCCTTGGAGCCAGCCTCTGATGTCTGTATAGTGCATTCACCTTTTCTTGGTACTTTCACTTCTCTGAGCACATATTTCTCCCCAGAAACTAAAAGGAAGGAAGGCTGGGATAACGGCTCCTCCTGGGCAGAAGGAGAAAGGCAAAGGCAGGGAGATGTAGTGGCCAGCGCAGGGCCACACAGCGGGTCACGGGATTGGTTAGAAGGCAGCCTGGACACTTCAGGCCCAGGACTCTCTTGGAAAAGGCTGTGGATCCTTTCTCTCCATGCAACCAGCAGTTAAGCTCATGGTCTTGCTGAATCCTCATAAAAGAAACGAAACTAAGAAATCAGCCAATCTCATTTTTAAATGAAAAGTGACTGGGAAGAAAAAATATGCAGGCTCTAAAGTGTCTGAAACCAGTCTCCTGATTTAAACCTAATTTGTTTGAAAAAAATTTTTTTTTTTTTTAGCTGAGAGAGTTTTTACAGCTGAGCTCTCCCAAACCCATAAAAAACAAGGTTTATATGGGAAATAGTGAAAGACTCTTAACTATAATACACAGCGTCTAATGTAAGCGGACATAGACACTATATAAAGCTCCTACAAATGTTATTAAAACAAACAGAAATACA